AAAAAAGTCAATAAATTTTCAATGTAACTAACAGATCAGTATAAACCTAGCCTTAGGCTAGATGATCCGTTAGTTCCGGAACAGCTCCAGCACCGCGCTCGAACTGCACAGCTGTAGTGGAACTGTTACCGGACTTACGGATGAACCCAGTCTAAGAGCAAATCATGGAAAATATTGTGCTCACCTTGACTATGTAGCAAGGATGATACGTCGGTGAGGCTATTCAGAGGAAGTAGACAATTCTTTTTTTGCTTGCGCACGAGTAACACGCCTGTTCCCTGAAATAAGTAGATTAGATATACATAGTAGCTCTTAAAAAACTCGCTATAACGAAAACATGTCAGGATGCACGACCGCAAACTTTGAACTGTGCCTGCGCAAAGGTAGATCATTTCGTAATCAAAGATAGATCAATAAGTTCGCTTTCAACAAGCAGACAACCGGTTTTCACTGCATCTAATCACTGAGGTGCCAGAGGCAGAGCACATAATGAACTAACCATAATTACCGCTGACTGTAACTGGCACATAGTCTTTGTCCACAGCCACATGAAGATGTTTTCTGGCTTTACCACGACGTGTAGCACTGAAGAGGAGCATTCATACTACAATCAACTGTATTTGCAACAAACCTTGGCTTCGAGGATTTCTGAACGAGAAGATACTTCTTCAGAGGCATTTTCACATTCCTCTTGGTATACTGCGAGATCTCTTCGATAAGCAACTTCGGCTTGCAGATATGAGGCAAGTTGGCCGGGTCGGTTTGGAAATAATTTCCGTGAACGTGCTGAAGATATTATTTTGATCTAACACCGTACTAATGCCTGCTCAACATACCACGATGATTTGCTGTGGCACGATTTCATAACAGCCCTTGCACATGTAGACGTCAAAACGTCCTTCTTTGCGAGAAAAAGTGAAGGAATAGCAGCGATCTGTGTTGGGTGCGTTGTAGAGAAGAACTGGATTGACTCTGTTCGTCATCTGCACGAGCAGTGCTGGATAGCGCTTGTGCGGCTCGAAATCAGCTGGAACTCCGGGCTCATCAGCGCGCGAGGCGACGACGCCAAGGACCTGGGGAGGGGTCACATCCATGTCCACGTGTTCAACAACCACAGCCTCAGCTGGAGGATCGCCTTGTGCATCCGATGGGTTGAGATTGAGTGCTGGCTGATTCTGATTATTGAAATTCATGAACGGATACAGATTAGGCACTGCAGGCAGCATGCCCGGGTTACGAGGGGCAGGGTCGGCAACCGGCTCCATGGGGACGAGGTTCTGATACTCCATAGGATGAATCGGTTGAGGACGCGGTAGATCGTTTAATGGGCGAACTGGCGGCAACGGCGGTGGTAGGCTTAGCTCGTTAAGTTGGTCCTGGGGCGAAAATAACGAAGGAGACATGGTTGTCGAAATAGTTGTAGTCGGTTGTGTATGCCACTCGTAAGCGTTGTACACTGGACGCTGGTACTGATGGAAAGCTGAAGGTTGAGATGGACGAAATGGTAGCTGAATCGATGGACTGAACGCTGTTTGATTTGATGGATTGATCAGAGGCTGGTTCGAAGGATCGAATGCTCTATTTGATGGAAGGAAAACAGAGATTGGTGGAAGATTTCCGGGCGACTGACCATTCCCATTCGCAGAGGGTAAACCGTTCATGGTCAATGAAGTAGCCGATGAGCAAGCTTCGAAGCGTTATATGACCTGGCACGTGGTAGGGCGTGGGCGTGTTGTGAAATGCACAGGTCGTTACTGCGAAGCCCACACTTCGCATACGGTAGTAGACGGTCAAATTAATCAATATAAAACATTTCTTTACTGATTTTGAAGAAAACTTGCAACATGGTGTAGTTAGAATTAAGACTAGTCTCTCAAAGGATTGAAATTGTTTCCAAAAAGAAATGGTAAGCTCAAGGGACAGCTATGTGTAACCTAGAGCAAACTCTAGCTGTCTAATCTGTCTGGCTCTCGATTAACAAGGTCATAAGGAGCTTGTCTAATTGCCGCTAACTTTTGTCATTTACCTCCATAAACATTTTGCTTTGCCGATGCGACGTTCTTTACAGATTCGGAAGTAAAGCGTGCTTTCTCCCTACAACAAAGCAAACTTGTTAGCATATCTTAGGAAATAACGACATATAATTCTGATA